GGGGGGGGCTCTGCCATGACCTCGAGCTGCCAGCCAGTTCATAAATTTGAAAGGCTTTCAGGCCGCCTTCGTTCTGTTCCCTGCCGGAATTTGGCTTTGGGGCTCTTTGCAATAACCATGATTAGAAATGCATGATTTATGTCGCAGCAGTCAAGGAATGCAGAGGTGGGGAAGGGAAGGAGGAGACCCCTTTCATCGCCTCTGGATTCCTGATAGATCTTGCTGCCTCAGGGGCAGTGTTCCCTCTAAGCTGAGTTAGTGGGAGCCAGCTCACGGGTTTTTAGCCTCCGGCTCACACATTTTTGTCTTAGCTTAGGAAGGAGGGCTCCAGAGCAATCTAATTTATGCCGTAGGCAAATCGCCCGCTCACAACTTTAATGCCAGGAGCTCGCAAAGTAGGATTTTTGCTCACAGGACTCCACAGCTTAGAGGGAGCATTGCCGTCAGTGTTCCCTCTAAGCTGAGTTAGTGTGAGCTAACTCACAGTTTTTTAGCCTCTGGCTCACGGGTTTTTTTCTCAGCTCAGGAAGGGAGGGCTCCAGAGCAAACTAATTTATGCCGTAGGGCAATCGCTCGCTCACCACTTTAATGCCAGGAGCTCACAAAGTAGGATTTTTGCTCACAGGACGTCACAGCTTAGAGGGAGCATTGCTCAGGGGGTAGTTTGCCAGTGACTGCAAGAATTCCTCCTCGATTGAGGGATAGAAATTGGGTGAAACAAAGCCAAGTTCCTGTTGTGGCCGCAGCCGTGTGACACATGACTAATCCCCGTAAGGAAGGGGAAAGGGGAGGCTGGGCGGAGAGAGAGACCTTTGAACTTCGCTCTTTTTGTGCCTTTCCTGAAAAGAACAGTGAAGCTTGAAATCCCTGTGATAAGGGATTTGTGGGGGACACGTTTTTGGTGCCTGCCGTTTTAGAACAGAACAGGACAGTGCGGGGCGAGGACAGGCTCTCAGCAGAGGTTGACGCTTTAGAAGCCACTCACTGGCTCAGAGCCTGCAAATGTATTGGAGGAGAAAGAGTGAGAGATGGGCAAGTATTTGGCAATGCTCTGTTTCCAAACGCTACTGTTTGTCCTGGGGTGGGAAATACTCCGTCGGGTCATTAAAAAAATGTAAGACAGAGATGTCTGTCACTGGTGGCCCAGGCCGGCCCGCTCTCATCAGATTTTGGAAGCTAAGCAGGGTCGGTCCCGGTTAGTCCTTGGATGGGAGACCACCGAGGAAAACGGGGGTTTGCTCTGCAGAGGCAGGCAGTGGCAAACCACCTCCGTATGTCTTTTGTCCTGATCAGGATGGCTCAGGCTAGCCTGATCTCATCAGATCTCAGAAGCTAAGCAGGGTCAGGCCTGGTTTGTATTTGGATGGGAGACCACCCAGGAAGTCTAGGGTTGCTACGCAGAGGATGGCAGTGGCAAACTACTTCTATATGTCTTTTGTCCTGACCTGGATGGCTCAGTCTAGCTTGATCTCATCAGATATCAGAAGCTAAGCAGGGTCAGGCCTGATTTGTACGTGGATGGGAGACCACCAAGGAAGTCCAGGGTTGCCACGCAGAGGCAGGCAGTGGCAAACCACCTCCATGTGCCTTTTGTCCAGACCTGAATGGCTCAGGCTCGCCTGATCTCATCAGATTCTTGGAAGCTAAGCAGGGTCGGCCCTGGTGAGTCCTTGGATGGGAGACGACCCAGGAAGCCCAGGGTTCCTACGCAGAGGCAGGCCATGGCAGCCTACGGTCTGTTTGTCTCTTGCCTTAAAAACCCTATGAGGGGTTGCCAAAAAAGGAGTAAAGTTGGCCGAGGGAAAAACTTGAACAGACGCCTGATGCTGCCTCTAAGTGGTGGAGTCTCATGAGCAAAGATCCCACTTTGTGAGCCGGTGGCATTAAAGTTGTGAGCGAGCGATCTGGCTGCTGCATGAATCAGTTTGCTCTGGAGCCGTCCCTTCCTGAACTGAGGCAAAGATGTGTGAGCCGGAGGCTAAAAAACTGTGAGCTGGCTCACACTAACTCAGCTTAGAGGGTTGGGGGTGGAATTAATTAAGGCTGGACGAGTTGTTTACAGACATGTTGGTCCGCAAGGAAACCCCCCAAAAAAACCCCAGCACACAACTGATACTTTTGTCATCCTTTTATCAGGACCAACCCAATGACTCATGACAGTGTGTGAATTTTTCAGTTCCCCAGAAGTCTTCACAAAATAAAAAGGGGAGGGCAAAAGCAAATTTTTTCCCAGTTACAAGAAGACCTTCTCACACAAGTGCCGACAGGCCAAGAAGAATCCGGTTTCAGGTTGCTGCAAGAGGCAGCGGAACACAGCGTGGCAGAAGACGATAAAATAGTAACAAAGTTGGGCTTTCCGGACTTCGTGGCAAGCCGGCCCAAGGACTGTGTACTTACCAGTCCGGCTGTGTACCTACCAGTCCGGCTTTCGCCCGGGTCATGGGACGGAGACGGTGCTGGTTGCCCTGACTGATGATCTCCGTAGGCATCTGGATCGGGGCGGTGTGGCAGCACTGGTGTTGTTAGATCTGTCGGCCGCGTTCAACACGGTCAACCACCAGTTGCTGG